CAGAAAATGAACGTAAGACTCCCTTGAGATACTTTTGTGCTTTCATTAGTTGGTAATTCTGAGCTTGCCTTCACTCCTGGATCTGTGAGTACCAAGAGAATGAACTGCACCCTCAATTACCTGCCTCTGGAGGTATATGTAAGAGAATTATTTATTAGTTCAAGTAATCACTTAGAGCTTGTGTTTTGGTGTGTCTGACAGCCTGCCTGGGGCAGGTGGCCACCCCTGAGACCAACCCCAGTCACTCCCTGGGGTTTGTGTATCTTGCTAACGTTGGAACTAGAATCACAGGTGGGTCTGTGTACTTACCTCAGATGCCAAAATGTTTGGCTCTTCTCCACAATAGAAAGTATGGTCTCACGGTTTCCTTTAATATTTACAATCAACACCCAACATGGTTGTTATTTCAAATCCAAATTTTTCCCTTTTAACATTACCAGCTTAGGGGCATCTGGGTGGCTCAATTGGTTAAGCATCTGACTCTTGATTTCAATTCAGGTTATGATCTCACGGTTCTTGAGATCAAGCCCCGCATCTGGCTCTTGCTGGCAGCATGGAGCCTCCTTGGGATTCTCTCTCTCCCTCTCTCTCTCTCTGCCCCTCTGCTGCTCTCTCTCTCTTTTTCAAAATAAACAAATAAACTTTGACAGCTTGTGCTATAATGTGTATTTGTGACTTATTAAATCAATCAATTGGCAGTTTTAAAAACGAGAAATGGGGCTCTAAATGATGAACTAATTGACTGAATTTCTGATGTGTCTAAAGTTGTGCTTTGAATTCCATTTTCTGTCTTTATGTTTTTGAATTTTATCAGTATAATTTTATCAGCTTTTTTTTTTCTTTTTTCTTTTTTCTTTTTTTTTTGTATATTGAAAGTAGAATTCAGGCTTTAGGTGAGAAAGGAATTGAGTCTAATGTTCGCCATTTGTAGTTCCCTAATGATCTGGTGTGATTGGAGGGGCAGATTTTCTTTTTGGAGACTACTGATTATTGATCAGTCTGGACTTATTTTTGTGAGGCCAGCCCGTTTGTTTAACTAAAAGCAAACAAGTCCAGAAATCCACACACTGCCCTGCATGTTGTGTGTCCCGAATTCCAGCCTGGCCCTGGGACTTTGGTACCACAAGGGCACATGAATGGAGAGTTAGGAGAGGGTTGGCAAATCTGATGTCACCCTGGGCACAGAACAAGCAGGTGGTGTCCTCTCTTCTCCCTGCCCTCTGCCGGTCCAGACAGTGTGGGCTTAGGGGACAGATACCCAGCTTGCAAGAAGATGACTGCAGTTCTAGGCGTCCCTTTGCTCTGGATCGTGGTGTGGTCCGGGGCCAACCATTTATCTACAACGTCATGTCATGTCATGGCTCAGGCATAGAGGGTCGGATGAGATCATGAATGTCAGAGGGACGTTGTTTTTTAGGAGGTGAGTGGAGGGGAGCCATTGCACTGTGTGTGTTATGGCCGTGAGTGTGGGTGACGAGTTTGCGACCAGACACTGTTCCCAAAGGAGAAGACGGGGGCTAATTCATTTCAAGCTTGTGAGGACGTGTTGAGGGAGGAATGGCCTCCTCAGAAAAAAGATGGTCTTTCTAGATTAAAAAAATTCCTTTATGTTGGGGCGCCTCGGTGGC